TATTTTTATTACCTACCTATCATATTTTATAAGACTTAAACGAATTTTTGATTAAAAAATTCAGTAATTTCAAAGTGAGTAGTGGCAACACTGTACGGAATAAAACATTTTTATCTACAGAGCGCGAGAATGTCTATTGGAAATTCTAAAGATACGCTGTTTTTTAATTAAAAGGCAGAAAGCCATCAAAGGGTGTTAACCCAAATGCACTCAAAACATGTATGTGTTTGTAAATAAAAAAGCGTTCTATTGAGCGCAGTATAAAATCTGAAACCTTTTGGATTTCTTTTAATAAGATGCAATATTTTTAACTATGATCTTTAGAGTGCTGTCTTAAAATTAAAACACGAAAACGTATCAGATACTTCGAACACTGCAAAAATAGCTAATTTTTTGGATTCAACTAAGATTTTTGTATTTAATTGCACACATAATTAGTGGCAAAAGCAACTATGTAATTAAGTTTACAGTGTTCAAATCAAAATAGTTGCTTTCATTAATAACTAATTATCAAGTAACCAATATTATGGGATCGTATTTCAATGGATTCTATTATCTTAAGGTGAAAAAGTTTCGGACAACTGAAGCCCATCGTTTTGATTATGAATCAGCAACACTAGTAATTCAGTTGCCATATACATATAACATGTATTCTGCTCATTTATATTCTAAAGCAGGGTGTTTAAACTTTGTCCAATCCTCTTTAAAACATCTCTGCTTTAGCTTGCTTAGATCTGGCGTGTTTTATTATAATCGATTAAATAATGACAAACTTTTTTTCACAAACGACAGCTTTCAACCGAAAGAAACATTTTTCCAGCTGGCCGCCAGCGACCGAAACGGTGAAGTCGCTGATCACTGGTGGTTCGGTTCGGGGTTCGAATCTCGGTGGACAAGGCTGGCTGCATGGATGCTTTGGTGGGTTTTTTTCCAAGTTTAACGTATGTACGAGACAAATTCCCTTAGAAAGCTCTCAACGAAAGCATCCCTTCCCTTAGGTAGATAGCCTTCGAGTGCTTTGCTCTAATCAAATAATCCAAACCAAATACCTTCATTTTACTTCTACCATCTCGTTTCAGTAAATAGCTATCTGATCGAAAATTACAGTGCAATTGTAATAGAATTTACAGAATTGTAGGGAAAAAAAAAGTCTTTTAAAAAAAAACTTTAAAAAGTGTTTTCAAAAAAAAAAAAAAAAAAATTACGTAATTACCTAACAAATGATAAAAGAAAGTAAGTGCGGTTTTCTCTTGAGAATTTTATGACATGCAAGCAAGAAACGCATCATGTTTTCTGTAGAAATAAAAGTTGTAGCTGCCTCATAAATTTTAAACTGTTTCGGCTCCTGGCAACTGTTTTACAAAATCCCATCTTAGTGAGTCTCTGCGCTTAGACTAGTGATCTTTTCCAAAACATGAAAGGGTTCTTGATAAGTGTTTTCTTCAAAGTGGATATACAATCAATGGTTTTTTCCCTCTCGCCTTCGACAGTTTTAAAAAATCACATATTAGCATTTTCTTTTATTTAAAATATTTATTAATATCATAAGATCAGTAAAACGCATGAGCAACCTTATAAATACCCTCTATCAAATTTGCAAGAGTACATAATGAATTTCACAATCCTAATTTTTCGGGGGCTATAAGTCATAACTTTTAGCTGTTAATGAAGCAAGGATGTGAGAACAATTTTTCTCTTATTTGTTTAAATGCTCACATATTTTACAGTGTAGGCTAATTAGAAATTTGTAAGTCGTTGTTTACTCGTTTACTGTACCTTTGACAGCTGGAATATATATGTATTCGGCAAAGACTTTGTTTTAAGCATGTGCATCCCAAGCACTGTGTAACGATAGTTACAACAGTGGGGCTTTTCGGCCAACATGCTAGCGTGCTTCTGTTTGCGAAAAGAAAGTGTAGGCTAAAAAATATTAAATTTATGATGGTTTATTTTATGATAGTTATAAAATTACGATGGTTTATTTGATCTGATTTGCGAAAGTAGCCCCGATCCAACAAACTAAATCTGTGTTTAGCCATAATATCATAAAGTTTCCAGACCTTCCATTACAATAAAGAAAAGAAAAGCGGGCAGTCCGTGCTCTCTATACATACCACATATACAACACAGGAAAATTAGGTGCAGAAAGCGAATAAAAAAACATGTCAATAATAATAATAACACATAAAATAGATCTAAAGGGATAACCAATTACATCCAACCCTTTAGATCTGAACACATACACACAAATCAATAAATAATGTGAACAAAAAAACAGCTGGTTTTAAACTAAATCGATTAAAGAAAGATTTCCATTCATAACCCTGATTTCTACTATAGCTCTCTTACTATTAATTATTTTCATCATTTCTTGTGAAAAAGCAACAGCACTTTTATACGATTTTGAGACTGTATTTTCATTGAAATCAGGTTGAGATAAATTTGTTCTCGCTATTTAACAAAACGATTGTAGAAATAAACTATAGGTACAATGAATGCAAATACAATGAATCTTATTATGGGGATCATCTCCAGTGGAAGATTGCCCTTTTAAGTGACTAGTATATCTGAGAATATGAATACGAATACATTTTAATATTTATAATATTCTTCCCTAACAAGACCATTCTCTAGCCTGACAAGGCCTTTAAAACCGCCCATTATGACGATCACCAAAATGCCTGATCTCGGTAACAACCTAATTTTAAACAATCAAATGCGAAGTAATTTCTAACTATACTACCATATTCTACAAACTCAGAAATTTATTTCCAATGAAAAAAATCAGCGTATATTTAACTGAGAAACATATTATGTGTCGATTTTAAGATCATCATCATCTTATTATCCTGTGTTCTAAAATCGCTTATTTCTACTGGCATTACCACCAGTGGACGAATGGATAAAATCGCTGAACACTGGTAGTTTGATCAGCATTCGATTTCTAGCAAACAAGCTTGCTGCGTGAGGTTTTCGTGCCCTCCCCCAAATGTGTTATGTGAATGTGAACTAGTTTTCCCATAGAAAATCGTCAACAAAATCACCATTCCTTTACGAAGAATGTCCTCGCGTGAATCACTATAATCATTTAAAACAAGCAAACAACATCGTTCATTTATATATTAGCTTTCTTTTATCTAGTATTTCTTTGAGCAACTATGTGGATCAAGTGTTTTGCAATTAATAAATCTGAAACATGAATATTTAGTTACTAATATATTATGATACTAAACTTATATTTTGCAATAAATTTGGATTTATGTTATGGCTATGAAATTTCATCTTATGTCTGTATAAATTCACACAATACTTCATTAGCGGCACCTTGTAAATAAAAGTAAGTATGCTACTGCTAAGGATATAAGATCCAATTATTGATTTAATGCCAAGGGATATCCAAACATGAGTGTATATTAAAATAAAATTATTACATTGAACTGTATTAAAACTATTTATTTTTTATTTTTATCAAATTATTATAAGAAATAAATTAATTTTAATAATTACAGAAACATGCTATTTGCTGCGTGCATGCACTTTACAGATAATTTTATTTTCCTTTCACAGCACGGTAGAAAGGAATTATGCTTTTAATTTTCAGAAAGCCTACTGTACCAGTATTAACTATATGGGCTGCTAATTTGCAAAGAAATCATTGTGATTGTGCCTATTGTCTGTTTACTAAATATCGGTACCTTTGCGCAGTAAGTTCTGAGGACACTGACTTATATTTATATAATGCGTGTGAAAATCGTCAAACGGAGAACATCAGGAAAATGGACCCAATCACTTATAATTCAAAATTTTTGACTGGTCAGTACTCTTTAAAATTATAGAAGCAATATTCGATAAACTTCACTATTAGTTCATTATGTTTAACTTTTTGTAGTAATTATTTCGATATTCAACAAATTTCTTAGAATGTAAAAATTAAAACCAGAATTAGTTTCCTGTCCTTTTCTGCTGTAGCGATATCTGCTAATATACATTAAGAAAAAACTGGTCACTTAAAGCCTTTAGAAAACAAATTTTCTCTAGTAACAAGTAGTATTTTCTTTCCTTGAAATGACAGAAAATTCAGTTTCTTATGTTAAAGAATTCAGCTGTAATTTTTAGAATAAATTTTTGTTTAAAATAAAATGAAATTTACTGTTTTAAACCATAAATGTGGAGTAACCATAAATGAGTCAAAAAAAAGTTTTAAAACCATATTGATACGTATAAAAATCCGTTTAACTTGAGAGTTCTAAGACTTTTCCGAGCTCATTTAATAAGTATAAAATTCATTAATCATAAAATGAGAAAGTATAAAATGAAAATTCATCAAGTACAAGATAAGAGCAAGAAATACAATTTTTTTCTCTAAAAAAAGTTATCGATTAATATTTCTTATTTAGAATAGGAGCTAATTTTTACTTAATTTACACAACAAAAAAGTATAATTTTAAAATGTAAGAAGCACTAATTGCTGTTACGTACTTTTTATAAATTCTATTCTTCTAAATTTAAAACTACGGATCTTTTTCCATTGATCCAGGAATTATATCTTAAATGCACGAATGAACGCCTTAAAGATATAAAAAACAAATATATTGCATTTTGTAGTAATTATTTTAACAATTAGAATATTGTATTTGAAATTTAGCACATTTTTTCCTCTCTCTTCCAAAGCACAACATATTAGTCGCTTATTTTATATTATGCATTTTTCTGAGATTTCTCTAATCTCACCAATTCAATCATGTTCAATGATGATATTTATGCTAAGTGATGCGAAAAAGTATTATTACTATTAAATTATACAGTGTTTCTCTTACGGTAAGCTTATACTGCCACTAGCACTGCAGCAAAAGAGGACGTATACAAAACTTCAAAGCAAAATAAATAGGAATAAAGTAATATTTGGAGAATATAGTACATTTGTTTGAATTTGGTAGCATGCAGATAAATTTAAAAATAGCAATAACTAATTCAAAGTAAAAAATATGAATACCACTTACTGATTAAAAATATGTACAGATGTTAGTTTCATCCTTCGCTGCTATAATGTCATCCAGTCAAATATGTCTAAAAATTCATCCTTCTGTTCGTGGAACATGGGAGGACTTTTCGATTCTGTCATAAGCATCATCACTGGTGACGGGGTGGTGCAACAGGACGGCGAAGATGAAGTATCTGGCGGTGAGGATGAAAATCCTTCGTTAGACGCTCCAGTACTGTCCTTGTCATCATACCCGATTGCCTCCCGAAGTTGCTTGATGTACTCAATGGCACAGCGCAGAGTTTCAACTTTACTTAATTTCTTTGTGGCTGAATTGCCGGACCCGGAACGACTTTTACTGGGAGGCTGAGATGTGACCCCTAAATGAGGAGGTATGTGGTCACGCAAAGTGGCGAATCCCAAGTTAACCAGGCGCACGCGTTTGCGTTCACGAGCGTTCCGCCTGGCTACCGACCGTGCTTGCTGCTGGGGCGTACGGGGTGTAGATCCCCTCCTTGCCCTGCGACGAGGTCCAATAGGCTCCTGGGTAACTCCCACGCGATCCAATGGCAGCAAAAGGCGATGCGTGGGCGGATCGGGTAGTTGGTCCGTTGTAGTGTTCTCTGTTGTTTCATTCGGTGGAGTTGCAAAACAGGTGGAGGTGGAACTACTGCTGACGTCTTGCGCAACGTCGTCATCTTTGAAGTCCATTGTTCTGCGATAGAGTCAGGAGTAAAGAAATAAGAGGAGCGCTGGTAAAATATGTTTACTTTTAAGATCAATACATTCTTTTGTGTTCGTCTTAATTCAAAAACGGTACTGCCGTTTGCGATTTTTTGTTGCTACTGGAATATAAGTTAATGAGAAGTCCATTTGCTCATACGGGGGATAAAATTAAAAGTTAATTTAAAAATTCACCAAATATCCTTTTGTCTGTTGTAATACAACTTTTTTACATATAATTTAGTGTTGATCTGAAATTCTTTTTACGTATAGCACTAACTTCAAGTATCGTTTAAAAGTCTACCTGATCACCTAAATTTATAGAAACTGTAACTGCTTGTACACTGAAACTGTAACAACGGCTGAAAGAAAATATATAACCGCTAGAAACAATTCTAAAAGCTAAATTGAAAATTTAAAAAAATACTGAATGTCAGCTGAAGTCGTTATCTTTCCCTTCGATGAGGATCAAAATCATATCTATAGAAGTCAGTCAATATGCCAGTTAATTCTTAATTAATTTTGCTTGATTCTGCATAAATCTCAACGCGGTTGTCATTCGAGAGATGTCAGAATTCAGAAGGGAGGAGAACCATCTCATCCGAGAAGAGAAATCGAAGGGAATGGGAAGAAAGTATCGAATGTCAGTCGGAGGAGTCCGTCCTGTCCCAGTTTTGCGAAGAAGCACGGCTTTAATGATCTTTGGCCCTGACCGCGCCGCTTTATCTGCTACTAACGGTCATTACGTACAGCCGAAAAAAGACTGGTTTTTCTTTCCCTCTCGTTCTTCTCGCATCCTTTAGGGGTGGGGATGGCTTTCCTCCCCCCACCCCTTCCTCAGGGTGATTCTATGACGTAAGCAGGTGCCCACCGTAGACTCGTCTTTACCCTGCAGGGTAAGGAGGGGTTTTTAGGGATAGAAGTAGATCTTCCAGCTCTTTCACTTTAATTATTGAAAGAGATTTTTTATGTTGATGATCTTTCCTTAACGCGAGCAATTGTGAGATAAATTTATGGATTGATTTTCATTTTATTCTGTTTCTTAAAAATATTTTGATTTTCTACTTTATTAAGGGCTATGTAAAAAATTATTTTAATGTTAAGTATTCGAAAGCTTTGCTGTTAAATTTATGCCTGTTAATTTAAGCAATATTTGAAAGCAAGTCTACCAAACGTAAAAGGTTTATAAATATGGAAGATCTGTTTTGGAAATAATTGTTTTCACAAAGATGTACTTCCTATTATTCTCGACTAAAGGACGAAATATATTTAAGTAAAATTTTACTTAATTATAAAAAAAATAGTGTAAAATTTTAGTATATTTATACAATTTTATTAATAGCTTTTTATTAATTCTAAGTTCATCAAAATAAATAAATAAATATTTTCCTCGAAAAGCTTATGGCTTCATTATCTGAACGTCATATTTTATTTGCTAATGTTTAATCTAACATAGATTTCAAAATCAAAATGGCAAATTTTACTTTCTTCCAAATACTTCAAAAAGGGGGTTACTTTTCGGGATTTTTCTTGTATTTAATGAGTGAATTCCATAACTTAATAATACAGAAAATATGGATACTTGAAGGAAATATCCGATCCAGTTAAATAAATACATAGCTATAACTTGAATAATCAAAGGTCTTCTTTATTAAATATGAACACAAATCTCCACGTGCGTTAATTTAAAATGATATAATATAATTTCATCCCTCCGCTCACTCTTTGATTTTGCCAGCTCGTTTTAAAGATTAGGACTTTATTTTTCATGTCTAATTTCTTAGGGTTTGCCCCCCCCCTTTTTTTTAAACCGAAATTTGTATACCGAAATCAGAGTGCGTTGTTAAGGTAAACTGTTCGAGATCTTAAATTGCAGATCTTCTTGTTCTCTCTCTCTCTCTCCCCCCCTTTTTTTGTTGTTGTTTTTTTAACTTTATTTAATATTTTAAGCAGGTATGTGTACCCATATCTACAAACATTTACAATATTTACATATATACATCTATATATATATATTCTTTGAGATAAATTCCACTTTTCATTATAAATTTCATTATATTCCATTTTTCATTATAATATTTCATATTACAGGGATTTCATTAATAATACTTCTATGAATGTATAGAGAAAATATAATAATAATCCTGTATATATACATACATGTAAGATTAGAGTAATAACAAATTCAAACGGCTAGTTAAACCCAAATTTCATAAATTGATTAACCAATCGAAAATAATTTCCGAATCATATACAACTTCGCGATGATTGAATGATTTATTTACGCATTCGCAATGCATACATTTCGGAAGGTATTTCTTAATTTTCCTGAAAGAGGGCGCCACTCAAGCGCGATATTAAAGAGCTGATCTGACAGATTTCATTTCCGAGGTGTAACCCAAACTGAAGGGAATTCGTAGACGGCACGCAAAAGTGATTATTTGGTAAAAAAAAAAAAAAAAAAAAAAAAGGGGGTTAACAACATTTCTTATTACTTGCAGCAGTTAGTAGCAGTTCAAAGTATCAGTTCTGTATATTATTTAAAAAATAATGATATTAATGATTAAGAAATGAGTACGCTGATTACTTTTAAATTGTTCAAATTTTAAGCAATATACAGCCTTAATTAGAAAGATAAGATAAAATAAATTAAAGATCTTGTATCACGTGAAATGTACCATTTCGGAAAACTGAAAATTCTCCGCGTTACGTGGACGATAACTTGGAAGTGAAACTTGATGAGTAAAATGAAAATATTAAGCAAAGCATTCTCAAATATCAAGGGAAATATTATAATTTCAAATATTAAGCAAGGAAAATAATTAAGCAAGGAGGGAATTAAATCTATGAATACACTTTAGGAGAGGGATTTTCTCAACTTCTGACAGAAAGGCTTACAATAAAAGATTAGTTATGGTACTGTTGAAATCCCATGGTCCAAAAAGACTGACAAAAATTTAATGTAGGCTTCAAATAAGAGAATGAAATCAATAGAAATGTTTCCAATTTTCTTAAGTACAATAATACGCTAATAAATACATAATTATACTAATAAATATGTAATAAATATACTATGGAAGTAAATTACATCGTGTGTACAAACACAACGGTCTTTAGAATAAAATAATGTATCTTCTTTTTACTTCCTTGTACGAAGTAGTAAAGGAATTATTGCAATCGTGAAAAACTTCGGGTATCATATTTCATTCATTTTGACGGCTCTCGAACGCATTAACGATGTTTTTGCATAACATATCTACGTACGGGCAGAATATGGAACTCTTTTTTATTCCAAAATGGATTGGAAGACAACAAAAATGGATTTAGAAGAGATTTTTTTCGTGACGTTCGTACATACGTATATATATATCTCGCATAATTCGAAAACGAGTAGCTGTAGAACGTTTAAATTCCGTATATGGGACTATTATAACATGTAGTTGTGTACCTCCCTTTTTCACGGCACCAAAAATATGTATGTCTCTATTACCCGGCTCGGGGTGCCCAGTTTTTAAATTATTATATATTGATAAATTATGCATTTTTTGCTTTAAAAACTATTGCATTATGTTGTTATTTTGTTCCGATTGAGGATTTTTATGTCTTTAGTTAATCTTCCTTCAATAGGTACAGAATTATCAAGAATTTAAAATTTTAAGTAAAAGCCTAACCAGGCAGCCATTTGTTTACATTTAAAACTCTTAGTAGAATAGTGAATTAAGTCAGTTGGTGTTCCAATTTCAATGTCTTTTGCCCAGTGTGACCTAAAGTTAATTTTTAGATTTTTTGCAGTGAAAAATTTGTCTTGCTACCCGCTGGCCGAATTGCGCTTTTTTTTTTTTTTTTTTTTTACTGCGTAGAAACTCTAATTTTAATTGTCATCTTTTTAACTGTATTTGGTGCTTTAGATTTTTCTCTACTTTACATTTTTTAATGAAGATTGAGTTTTAATATATTTTTGCCTTGCAGCAATGTGAGCAATGAATTAATTGAATTAGAAATATATGTCTAATGAAATTCGAGGAAATAAATTTAAATAAAGAGCAGTAAAAAATTTTAATAATTTAATAGGCCGTAGAAAAAAGTCATGTGGTATCCACATCAGATATTATATTTTGATGTTTATTTATCATGTAAAGATGTCAGGTTTCTATTGTTGGTTAATTTATACTTATGGATAAAGCAGTACAAGAGATTCGTTCACAAATCGATTCAAAAGTACGGCACGGTGAAATATTGCGAATGACCAGTAGGCCAGCTCCGCTGAAAATGTTTATATTGTCAAAATACTGGGTTTTCCAACTTAATGTGGAAAAAAAAAAACCTTACAAGGGATCTCTTAGATTATTCAGAACATGAAAAATCTCTTTTAGTCTTCTTAGTTAGAAACATGGTGCAAGCCGAATACTTTTCTCAGTTAGAAACACGGTGCAAGCCGAATACTGCTGCTAACCGTTGTGTCAAATGAGCATAGAGAAATGCAGTTATAAATAAGCGTAAGTATAATATAAAATGACTGACGCATGAATTGAATTAAGGAGAAAACAACAATAAAAATATGCAAGTATCATCAAAAAGATGGACCTGGTTTTAAAGAGTTTTATTTCAAATGGGGCTTAAGACAGCAATTTTTATTGTGAAATAAATATAAGAGCTTAAAAATTTCATCATAGAGAATTTCAGTATGAACTCTGCCATTGTCCTGCAAACATCAAAGCAGTATTCTGTTTCCATCCATCGATCTGTTTTCCATCCACCGACCATATCTGTCGTAATAATTGCAATAGCAGCTACTGATTATTTTGCAGCAGGTAGCTGTGTCTCATAAGTTCTCCAAAAATTGCATTGAGGATTTTTAACAGATTTTAATTTTACATACCAAGCCACCGTTGCACGTTTTTGTTGCACTGTCGCAGTTTTCATGCGAACTAACTGGTTAACGCCGGCGACGTCATTACTTCTGTGAAAAGCTTCTGTGCATGTCAAAATTACTACTTCCATCCTTAAATTCAAAAGTGAATAATTATTTTGATATAAAAAACTAAAAATATTGATTTATGATAAAGAATATTATGGCGATTAAAATCAGATCTATTCTTTTAAGTGGCTGTTTATTTTCATGTTAACGTTTTATATTGAAGGGCATTGCTACGATCTCACAGGATCACTAGGATGAAAAGGCAACGGGATTCCTCCTGAAAGAAGCAGTTGACTGATCTAATCATTACAGTTGAGTATGTGATTTATAAATGCATATTGTAAACCTTAAATTTATGTTCCAACCTCTAAAAAATCCCTTTTCTGCAATACATCATTCCAAATCATCCTTGTGGGTTGTAAGTGACTTCCCCCAAAATTCTCCATGCTTATGGCCAGTCATGTTCCATGCTTCTGGTGAGTCGAAATAACGAAGCTGAAGGTCCTGAAAGTTGTGCCGAAGTTGCAAGCTTTTGCAGCACCTTTGAGTTTTGTAACCTTGCGTAAAAATTTACTTAGTGAAGAGTGTTATTTTAGTGGAATATTTTAAGATATCGCTTTGTGCAGCGAGTCGATTTCGAAAGCTATAAACAGTATTAGCCTGTTGAATTTGGTGGAGCATACTTTCTAAAAGTGGTGAAAAACAAGTTTCGAATTCCAATCTTTATACACTGAAGAATAGATGCCAGTACCATCTTCTCGTAAATAAAAAAAAAATTTTTTTAAATGCCAAATGATATTAAAAACAGTAAATTATAGCTCCAAAAGCTATTTTTCATGTTTTTTAATTAATTTTTAATTCATTTTGAGCAGCCGTTTTAAATTATTTCTCATTTTAACAAAAATGATTTTCGAAATTAAAATGATTTTTGTTTCAACCAGATTTATTTAAAACGACTGGAATTTACAATGCTTTTTGATATAAATTTCCGAATGCCTACCATGAGGATAATTTAGTTTGAATAACCATTCGAGCCTGTTCACAGAAACAAGGAAGCCAGTTCCGGGTCTGCTTTTTATCTTAAAGTGCATCTCGATCAGTGACATAGTCATCGATGCTTATCATGAATCAAACTTTTTTTTCAACTAGTAGTTAAATTTCTGTTTCGGGCTAACGTTAACCACAGCTTCGATAAGTGATAATAATAAATTAGATAAAGAATAATTGATGGTTGACTCTTCAGATTCACGTAACCGCTTTCTTATTGTAAAGGTTGTTATTTCTCTTAATGCTTTTTGCTAACACTAAACCATCTCATCAGCCATTTTGGTTCACAATTCCTTTTATCCTTTTTCCCCTCCATTATTCATACCTCATTCGGATTCATTATGCACATTTACTTTTAAGAAACAAATTTCCTAATACTCGTTTCTTATTTCCATTATAAGCTTGATGAATCGATTGAAAGATCGAATAGCTCGAGTTCAATAGTTTGAACTCCATAGAAATAATGTTTTAATAATAAAAGACTTTTACATCGATCAACAGAGTTTTTCTCAAAAATTAAAATTTAGTTGTAGTAAACAGTTTCTTGAGACATCAACACTTTGTACAGCCCATCAAATAGTTCTTCACAAAGTTAGCTTGCTTGGTTTTCAGTCAGTAAGGTGACTTCCATCTGATGAACAGCTGTAGCCAGCTTAGTTGCTGGAAGCAACATTTTAGGTGTAGATGTGAAATTGTTCGCAGAAAACGTTAACTCCTGTTGCTGTGATGCTCTAAAATATAGTCGAGTGTGATAAGGCTTTTAGCTGTGTGAATGTTTTAGAAAATGATAGTCCTACTCTCATGTAATTTTCAGTATCTACAATAAGGTATTTTGTCATGTGCTGATAAAATAACCTATCAATATGTAACAAAAGTAACCTGTTCTATAATTACCTATCGAAGCTTTGTTTCACGTAATTTCGAAATAGGAGCACAGGTATAATTTTAAAAAAAATTTATTCATGATGAGCGCGTAACAAAAAAAAAAAAAAAACATACTAAGGGAATTGGAAAGTAAGCTATATATTTTTTAATTCTGAGCTACTCATTTCAGTCTGTAATTTTATTAACACTTGGCAATGGTTTTAGAACTCTCATGTACCATTTCAATGATTTAATAATGATTTTATGAGTCACAGTTATCAACTATTTGTTGAGTAACAGTTGTCAGTATTTGATAAGTAACAGTAATCAGTTATCAATTTTAGATTAAAATTTCGTATAGAATTCCTTGCCGCTATGTGGAAAAAGTTCCGAAAATGTTTGTAGGGCAGTTCTGCTTCAAACGCAAACACCTGTATGCTACCTTCGAAGTAACATCCAAAGGAGCACGCATGTTTTCTCCTGCAGTTTTAACATTCCTAGAAGCATTGCTGGAATGCCTCGTTTGGTCTCTATCAAAGCTAGCTATTACATCAATTTTTATAGTTTGAATTATCTCAAAATTCTTAACCTGCAGAGCGTTTTTGTTAAGAGAAAACAACAGAGTCAACCAGAAAGAAATCTGGCAATAAAGGCAGTTGTGGGTAAGACAGAATCCTATTTCTGATCAAAGGAAGTCAAGATTTTTCCTCAAAGAGCGACATCGTACCGAAAGGTGAAATAATGCTTTAATGCTGATTTTACTGTATATGAACTAGGGTTGTAAAGTCAATAGTTTTTTTCCCTTGAGACAAGAGGCGTGAAAAATGCGCAGTGTCCTTGTCGGACTCGAAACCTGGACTTCTCGAATACATGTCGAGTATGCTTTCAGTTACACCTGGGTTTCTTAAACTGTGGGTCGCGACCCCCAAGGGGGCCGCCAATAATTTCAGCAGTTTTGATATTTCTTTAACTTATTATAATAATTTTACAATTACCAAATATTTTTACACAATGTATCCGAAAATAGATAAAGATAAAACAATACAGAAAGAAAAAAGAAAACGTTCGTCACTTTTTATAAAGAACGTTCATTTTCCTTATTGCACGTGACGCTGCATTTCGTCCGTACTTATTAAAAATTCACATGTCATGTCTTAAATTAGAATTAAAGTTAATGACCTAAAACTGCAATAGTATGCTACAGTGAAAGTGAAAAATTGACAATTTCACTCACGCGTGTGTCGGATTTGCGCAGTACTTATGGGGTCCCACAAAATTTTTTTTAATATTATGGCGGGGGAAGGCAGGAAACATGAAAAATATGCACTGCTCTTGGGACTCGAATCCTAGACCTCTCGAATACGGGTAGAGTGTTCTTCCAATTACACCATGAAGGCATGTGGAAAGGATAGAGAAAATACCTTATACGGTTATCCCGAAAGAAGTCACTTGATATATTCAAGTGTGCAAAAACTTAACCAGAAAATACATTTTTCAACATAAAACCTTGAATCTTTTGAAAAAGGATTTTGTAATCAGTACAATGAAAAAGACTCAGAAGGTACGTTAGAGGCGCTTAAAGGGTTCGTGAAAGCACACGAAACGTGAGGAGTCAGCGCTCGCAGTGCAAGGCAACTTAAAAAGAAGAAAGGAGTGCTCCCTTCCAGGCTTTCTTCAAGTGCAAATGAGATTGCACGTGCAGAATAGCCCCAAGAAAACATAATCAAGAGGTTTGTTTTGTGCATTTAAACGTTTTAAATTATACAAACTAGAATTACCCATCCATCAATAATACTGCTTTATATGGAAACAACTTTGCTTTCAAGTTTGTGCGAAAATGTGTGCGAAGGGTGCCTCTAAACTCTTCCTTTTGTCCTAAACTAGAGGAAGTACCCGCTACCATTTAAGTTAGATGGAGAGTAATGTATCTAACAACACAGAGATACCGCTGTAATCCTTCTCTAAAAACGATGCAAAAAATAAGATTTATAGTCATACATTTTTCAATTTGATGCTATAGGAACCCACATAAAAAATTTCCATACAAAAATAAACCAATTCTCTCCCGTTATATCAGCAATAATGGCACGCAGTTTTTAATGAGTTTCACCTTTCGAACCAAATCGTTGTAAAAGCTGATGTTCCATCCAATATTTCATCTATATTCAATTTTAGTCGATTCAATGTGGCAAAAAAATTGATCATAATGGATCACAAATTAATGCGAACAACCAAACACACAAACAGATATTCTTCTTAATATATATAGATTTTGTAAAATTTACAAGTTTTTGATTAACAAACTCTGCGATTTGAAAGCGAGCAGTGGCAGCACTTTTCGAAATAAAGCATTTTTGTCTCCACCGTGCGAGACTGTTGCCACTCGCAAAAATGAGTGCGAAAATTAGCGCTTTCAGAGTTTTTTAATAAATTCGGCTGGATTAAATTGACGAGCTAGGAAACAGTCGAAAGGTTTCCATGGTTTTGGAATCGAAAATATACTATAATGTTGGCAATGGTATTTTATTTCATGTAAAACTGGAATTTCTATTAACAAACTGTACGATTGAAGCGAGTAGTGAATATTCTCAAAATAAAGCAAATTTTTTATCTCCAGCGTGCGAGACTGTTGCCACTCGGAAAAATGAGGGCGAAAATTATCGCTTTCAGAGTTTTTAATTAATATCTTTGATTTTAGGTATTTTTGTTTTCAGAAAAAAGTGGGCGTTGACCTTTTCCAGGACCCCAAAAAAATTGTAGACCAAGAAAAAGTTTGGTGACTATAGCTGATTATAACCGACTGTGTTAATCGCGAACAAACACTCAAACAGCCATTTTTCTTTATATATATAGGTTAGAAAATTCAAATTTCATGCGTTTCAGTGTTATATATGCGTGTTCAATGTTATGAACAAAGATTGTCGGCGTTGTGCTAGAAACTTTTGTAAATTGTGACAAACTTGAAAAGGGAGTTCTTTTAGAGCATACTGAGAAACGTTATTCTGAACTGAAAAAAAAGGACAGGATTTAATTTTTATGCGCCATATAAGCCGAACTTCTAAATGCACCTTTCCACTACTATTATTTCCCATTGAAACATCCGTAGAATAAACCATAACGCATTTTATTAAACCTTTTTCCTTGTCACATTTTTTAATATTATTACTGCTGATGTAGAGCTATTGGTAAGAGCTTATTGAAACATTATATCCTAGCTATCGAATTTTATGTCATAAAGTCTTTTATTTTCGTCCTTTAACCCATTGACACTGAACTATCTTTAAAAAAGAAGTTGAAGAGAATAAGACAAGATAATAATGCTTTCACTGTCATTTCAGTTATAATTTAGTTGGATACATTTTCGCTGAGGCTTTTTGGTTTCCTTTCAAGATAGAATGTGAGTGG